AACACGTAGTGTATTACGATGTCAGCAGCAAATTGTTCTTAGCGATCGCGAAGTATGTCCCGCGTTCTATAGTTCGAGCAAGTCTTCTTCGCGTTCGCTTATGGAGGATCGCGTTCGTGTAGTGATGACGTTGGCAGCTGGGAGTTGGAGCATTCTTCTATGCAATCGCGGAAGGTGAGTCGCGTTCATGAAGCCTTGGCAGCAGTGGTCATCGCGTTCACGTGGGGTGTATTGCGAACGCGTAGAGTCTTTTGTGGCAGAGTGAGTTTTATTCATCGCGAACGCGATGAATTTCCCGCGTTCGCGAAAGAGAGGGGCCTCGGGAGATTATAAAGTACTCTATTTCGAGGGTTTCGACCATTTTTACATTTTGGGAGCTATGGAGCTCGGATTGAGGCGATTCTTGAAGCAATTTTCACCATATGAATTGGGGTAAGTGTTCTCTACTCGGTTTTGGTTATATTTCATGAATCTATCTTCGTTTTTGGTAATTAGATTGTGAATTTTAAAGAGGAAATTGGGGGTTTTGGCCTAAGGTTTCGTAATGTGAATTTTTGAGTTTTGAACATCGATTCGAAGCCGGATTTGAGTTAAACTAGTATTGTTGGGCTCATAATTGAATGAGTTATCGGATTTTGTGAGTTTTGTTGGGTTCCGGGGTGCAGGCCCGGGTGTGATTTATGGCCGATTTTGGGTTTTGATTAAGGATTCAATCTTTATCATTTGAAATTATTTTCTTGGGCTTTATTTGATGTATTTGAGTTGCTTTTGGCTAGTTTTGAGCCGTTCGGAGATCGCTATGCGCGTGATGGCATCATTGGAGTATTGTTTGGCTTGCTCGGCATTGGTATTGGCTTGTTCGAGGTAAGTAACTCTTCTAATCTTAATGCTGAGGGTATGAAACCCCGTAATACGTGTTATGTGATCCATATTTAGGTGACGCACATGTTAGGTGACGGGCGTGTGTGCGTGCACCATGTGAATTGGGACTTTGTTGCTTCTATGTCACTGTATAGTGGTCCTACTTTGTTGATATCCGTATTTTTACCATGTGATAAAGTAGTTAAGCTGTCAATCATGCTAGATATCATGTTTAGGCATTATGCCGATACTGTTTGGACCCATAGTGGTCGTTTCTTACTGTCATCTCACTGATTTTATTGATATTTCGTACTCGATCATATCCATGCATTCATACCATATCTCAGTCTCAGTTATTATTTATTGATACATCATATCATTGTTATTGGGCTAGTTTCATGACATTGTGAGCCCATGAGTGCGACTGGAGAGATTGATGACTGAGTGAGGCCGAGTGCCTGAGCGAGAGTGATATTTTGGGATCGGGTTGCACGTCGCAACATATTATATTGATTATATATTTTTGGGATCGGGATGCACGCCGCATCAAGTTATATTGATTACATTTTATGGGATCGGGCTGCACGCCGCATCGATATAGCGCTTGGGCTGAAGGATTCCTTCCGGAGTCTGCACACCCTAGTGAGCGCAGTCGACTATATATATGTGGATCGGGTTGCACACCGCAACGGGACTTATGATCATATGTGGATCGGGCTGCACGCCGCATCATGTACTATACAACGCTGAGTGACTGAGTGACTGAGTGACTGAGTGTGCTGAGCATTGAGCATAGTGAGAGAGAATGCGAGACAGTGAGATTGAGTACTCTGGGAGTGTGAGTACATGAGCTCATCATCGAGATGCATTGCATTTGTCATGCGTACTTGAAATATATGCATAGAGATATGCATTTCCTTATGCTACCAAGTTTTGGGGTCATTTATGATTTTACTTGTATCTTGACATGTAGGCATAGAGACATACTTTCCTCATGCAATTTGAAAATGAAACATTTTACTTATCATTGAAAGGAGTTTTGGGGAAAATCACAGTTTTCAAACTTACTCGTATTTTAGCATTTTCGGTAAAAGATTTGGGTTTTTACTGAGATACTTGAAAAGAAATGCCTATTTTTCTGGAACTGTGAACGAACTAAGCATTTTATTTTCGAGATACCTCTTTTGTTACTTGTACTATGCTGTTATGAACTGATGTGGAACATTAGTATGGGACCCGACCTTTGTGTTAGCTCGTCACTGCTTTCAACCTAAGGATAGGTTTGTTACTTATTAAGTACATGGGGTCGATAGTACTCATACTACACTTCTGCACCTTGCGTGCAGATGTTAGCTGCTGATGTTGCTGTGATCGATGGGAGCTGGATTGAAGATGTACCTGCGTCCTGGTTGTAACTGCCTTTTGTTCGTGGTAGCCTTAGATCTATAAAACTCTGTTTATGTATTTTTCAAACAGACAATGTATTTATTTTATTTCAGCTTTGTGAATTCTATTCTTAGAAACTCATAATTTATACTACCAGTCCTTGAAAAATGTATAAGACTCAGTAAATTACTTTCGTTTAATTGTCTTATTAATATCATTGGAATTGGATAGTTACTAGTTGACTTACCTAGCGGGTTGGGTTAGGTGCCATCACGACTAGTGCATTTGGGGTCGTGACAATTTGAGTATATTTATTGTCAACTTGATTAACAAATGAATTCTTGCTCAAATGGTTGTTGTTGTTGCTTAATTTTGTTAGAGGTTAGTAGTTCAAGCCTCATTAATACAAAATATATTTTGTTTCTTCTTTAATAAATAATGTCTCCAAAACAATAAAAACTTAAGCGTGTCGCCAAAAGAATTTGAACTCCCAACCTCTAGCAAGAAGTTGAAACGCTTAACTAGCTTGGCAACGTGCTATTTTATTTCAAGCGGTGGCACATGTATCCTTTTCTATGTATTATCTGATTTTGCTTATGTCTATATATGCATTTAATAAATCTTTCCGACGAACCGGTGTTACGTGACACCGCTTCCCATAAGGTGGCTCCGCCCCTGCACAACAACAACAACAACAATCCAGTATAATCTCACAAGTGGAGTTTGGGAAGGGTAGTGTGTATGCAGACCTTACCCCTACCCTGGGATAGGGAGGCTGTTTTTGAAGCTTCGCCCTGCACGCAAGTGCTAATTCTTTTTGTCCCTCGTCAGTTCCAACTTCCAAGGAAATTAATTACGAGTAGTTTTTAATATGTTCTATCAAAATTAGCCATTACGTCTAATTTAATGTAAACTATTTAATTTGCTTAAATTTTGTTTATTTCGTCAGTTTGCTGGCCATTTAAAAGTGTCACATTGTTGGACACGGAAAAACAAATTGAAAGGAATTTAGAGCCCGTTTGGATTAGCTGATTGTAAATAGCTGATAAGCTTGTAGTGCTGAAAAGTTTTTTTAAATGCTGAAACTGATTTTTAAAATAAGCATTTACGTGTTTGGATAGAAGTGCTGAAACTGATAATAAGCAGTTGATGTGTTTGATTAAAAAATACTAATAAGCTATTCTTTTGTTAAAATGACTAAAATACCCTTGAATCTTTTTCAAAAGATTATAAATTAAAATTTTCTTTGTAAATAAAAGAATTAATAATGAATATGGAATGAAGAGAAAGTTAAGAAATTTATTTTGGGAAAAGTATTTTGTGAATTAGAAAATATTATTAAGGATAAACTAGTAAAAGTGTTGGTCAAACTAAAAGTGCTTATAAGTTGAAAAGCCATAAGTTGGGGGTGACCGGCTTATGACTTATGGCTGATTTTAGCTTATAAGCACTTGGCTTATAAGCACTTTGAGTGTTTACCAAACGCGTAGATAAGCCAAAAGGTGCTTATAAGCTAGTTTGACCAGCTTATAAGCTTAGCCAAACACCCTCTTACTCATTTAGCCCCATATGCTAAAAGCAAATTACTCATTTAAACGGGCCAAAATCTTCTTTGACCATATGAATTAATTAAAACTTATTTTCTGTCATTTTCCATTAATCACACAAAAGATTAGGAGAAGTTTATATGTTATAACTTGGTATGCATACTACTAATAATTCAGAAAGTACAAATCCGTGTTTCAGGTTTTCCACATTTTCTGATCATTGGTGCGTATAAAAAACTTTTTTCAAAATATTGTAATTTTTGGGGAGAATTATGTTATATACTGACAGTGTAGATATTTCTTAAATCAGTATAGTTTAATCGGTTAGAATATGAAACTTAAATTCTTTGTATTATAATAACAATGAAAATGGGTTGTCAGTAGGCCTATTCATGGATCGGATCGGATTTAGCACCTTTAGTTTCGGATTATAATTTCGGATTTTGTAAATTGTCATTCGAATCCGAACCAAATTAAACTCGGATCGGATCGGGTCAGATTTTGATGTTTGGATCGGATAAATATTTCGAATTTCAGTTCGGACTGTAAGCCTTATTAGTAAGATGCTAAAATAAATAATTTTAATGTGCTATCTCCTACCATTTTCAGTAGCAAAACTCATTCATTTCCATATCTTTTACTTTTAATATTGAAAGGAAAGAAAAGGCAAAAATAGTGAAAGAAATAACAAAGAAATCTTAGAATTTTTAAAAGAGCATCCCTCACTTTTATATGTAAAATATAAATTTTGAATTTCGGATCGCTTTGGATGTAAATTGAGTCAAACTCTATCCGATCCGATATTCAGAATTATTAAATTAAAGATCCGAAATCTAATCCAAACCCGTCCGAATAATACGGATCGGTTCGGATTTTCAGGTTGACCAAAATAATGCACAATCCTAGTTGTCAGTATTACAAGCGGACATAAGTTCATTTTCTTCAGTTGACTTGCTTCTATACCGTCCCGTCTCTTTTAAAGAAGTTTTTAATGTTGTAATAATGCTGCATAAAATATTGAAACCAAAATAGTAAGAGAGTGATAATATTGAAAATTAGCACATGTATCTGCTGAAAACATGTATATATGCATATATAGCGAACAACAAAGAAATAACGAATAGAACAAAAAGAAAATCTTTTTATTGATTTGGTGCCATAGCACAAAAAGGTACAATGAAACATCAACTCATAATAGCTAATAGGAAAAAATGGATTAAAAAAAGAGGACATTCTCTATACAACAATAAATTACGACACAAAAGATCACTTTTTCCTTAAGCAAAATTGAAGAACTCATTTGATATATTACTTAGTGCTATGTACCGTTGATATTCGAATCTTCCCTTCTTGAAAAACTTAGTAATGAATTGGGCGGAGGTGACTTATAATACTATATAAGTGCAGGTTTTGGTGAAGGCGGATGTGGAGACTTGTAATAATAAGGAGACGATTGAGACTTAGTTGGTGGTGGCCGACTTTTGTAATAAGCTAAGATGGTGACGACTTATAATACTATATTGGTGCTGGTGTTACTGATGGTGGAAACTTGTAATAATAAGGAGACGATTGAGACTTTAGTTGGTGGCGCCGAGTTTGGTAATAAGGTGGTGATGGAATTTGTAAACTTATGTCGGGGTTGGAGGAGAAGGTGACTTGTAAACATACGTTGGTGATGAAGGCGGATATAACTTATAAACATACGCCCGTGATAGATTTGGAGGAAATTTGAAGTAGTATAGCGCGCAAGTGTAGGCTTGAGCTTCTTGCATACCCTATAGGGTATCTTAGGAGCATAAGCAAATGGTAATGCATAGAGTACAACTTCATATTTAGTCTTTGATTTCACTTTGAGATTAGCACCCTTAATTCCCAAATGAAAATTTGTTGGAATGTTACATTTTGAATCTTTTGGTGCCTTTTGAAGTTTGACTTTGCAAGCCTTTGCGCCATATTTGTGATAATCAAATCCTTTGAAAGTTATGCTAAATTTGCCATTGATCTTAGTGTTACCAAAATTCACAATTTTTTTGTCACCGACCTTGCAAGTCACTTGAATCACAGCACCTAATTCATGTGAACAAGATAATCAACATTAAAATAATTGAATGGTTAACAGATATTATATAAATGTACTTTGATAATTTCTTCTTTGTGGAAAAATAACATTGTATAGCCGTCATAAAAATAATAGTCAAAAAATGTATAAAATTTGTATATTTTTTGTATATATATATATATATATATATATATATATATACATTCTGTATGTTATACACAAAAATTATACAAATTTTATATACTTTTTCGACTACCAAATATAAATAATTTCTAGTGCGGGCTAAAAGTGATAATACCTCTTTACTTTTCCTATTTAACTTATAAAACTAGCTGTCCGTAACACGATCCAAAGCTCATTTCCCAATTGTCTTTGGCTCTTCTCCTATGATCAAAAGCTTATTCTAATAATGGATCCTATAATCCAAATATTGAGAAGACACATCTAACGAATAACAAGAACGTAAAGAATAAACGGATGAAAAAGAAAATATAGTTAAACCCATCAAAAAAATATAGTTAAGTAAATTAATGATGAAATATAAATAGAAAATAAAGAAATATTAGAGGGCATGGAATCGCGATTTTTGTATCTCTGAGGTATTTCTTGTCATGTACCTTGATAAATTTTTATGCTTTAATTTTTAGCGAATGTGAGACAAAAATCTTATTAGTGCACATTTTCAAAACATAAAAAATGTTGTTTTATCCTAATATCCACATCTCGAGAAGACAAATCTCTAACGAATAATAACAACATAAATCATAAGCGATTATAAAGAAAAATATAGTTAAGTGAATTAGTGATGAAATCTAAACAGAAAATACAAGAAATTAGAGGGTGTGGAATCAACATTATTGTACCTTTGAGGTGTTTCTTGCCATGAGATATTTTTGGGTATTTCCAATTGTAGCATCTTAAACAGTAGACTTTTCCAACAACCTTGACCGCCAAGTGATGACGTGGACCATAGGGTGCTAGGGGTGAAGGCGGAGGAGGAGGCGGAGATGTATACACATACGGGAGAGGTGGAGATGACGATGGACGAGGCAGTGATTTATAGGCATATGATAGTGGAAGTGAAGGTAATGAAGGAGAAGAATATACATAAGGATCCGCTGAAACAACATTAGCAACCGTTAATGTAGCCAATATTGTCACTAACATTCGTGGCAAATGACGATCCTTGGCGGGGCTGTCATTGCCTCGAAATCTCATTTTCGCCGGAAAATTTCACTGTCAGCCTTGTAATGTAGCTGAACAAATCTTATAGAACAAAGGTCATGACTTTGGGATTCAGTTGCCAAATTATTTATAGATGCACTCTTGGGAAGTAATATGAGTTGTCAATTAGATTGGTGCTCAAGACTAAAAAAATCAGAATTTAACAGCTTCAAGAGTTGTCCATTGCATTTCTTTAACAAGTAGTATTTACTATCTAGCCAGACAATGAGAACACAACATGTGAATGTGTACAGAAACACATGTCATCTATTTGTTTAAGGGAAAGACAGTGCTAATTTTTAAATACTTCCTCTCTAGATCTTGCCATTTTGATTTCTTTGTGTTGCATTTTGGAAGCCTAAACAGCATAGCCGAAACCAAAGATTCGAAGCTTATAAGTTCGGATTATTAGTACTTTTAAGTTAGTGAGTTAATAATTTATACATATTTAATGAATTTATTAAGACAAATACATAATTTATTTTGTGTCAAATCTAGTGAGTTCAATTAACCGATATTCTAGTTACGCCCTCGCTGAAAAGGATAGAGGTCTAGTAAGATTACCTTTGCATCACCCTAAAAAAAATAGAAGGTTGATAATTTCAAGAAAAAATAGTGCAAACATTCCATATAAGATTGAATTATGTGGTGTTTTACCATTTACAAATAATTACAGCTAACTTTGACTTCCTTAGCCAAAGTAATTAATATCTCATTCCCTGCTTTACTTGCCTGCTGATCTGTAGCGAGTCCAAATATATATTCTACGTCTAATGATGTATAATAACATCGCGAACTCAAGCTGGTAAAAAATAAGACCGAGATTAATATAATTTATTATTAATTGCATTGATATTATAAAAGTTATTTATATTACTAGTGTATTAAACTTAAATCTTTTTCTCATAGTACATTTGCAATCTGCAATCATCGGTAAAATATAAGAAACTATTCATTTTTTTTAAAATAACAAATAATCGTTTGTTGGTATTACCGGCCGACATAAGTTCATTTATTTACATTAGTTTAACTATATATTTTCCTTTTTTGTTACTTTATTCGTTACTTTCTTATCGGAGACGATGGACCATAGGGCTTACTTAGCATACATTAATTTAATTACGTGGTAAAAATTAAAAAGAAAATTTTAACTTACTTGTCGGTCATTTCTTCTCGGTAAAAATGGTCTCTTTGCTCTCATCTGAAAACTTCTATCATCGGAGATGAGAGACACCTTCTATTTCTCTTTTTAATTACCTTAATCTTATTGTTGCTACCATCGATTCTCTTCTTATTGTTGCTGTTATTTCGAATCGGGAGTAAAAAATTAGGGTTTAGGGTACTGGAGGTTCATTTAGTTCTGAAGATTGTTTGAAGATTCTGAAGACTTTTAAAGATCGCTTCAATACGAGTCCTATTCTTTATTCCCTATTATTTTTGTTGTGAAATTATGATAGGTAGGTGCTGCGATTTAGTTCGTAGTAGAAAATTTTGGGTCTTTTTCTGCTTCTTGTTGTTGGTTTGTCGAATATATAGTTGCATGCATGTTGTTTGTTGTTAGTTTCCGGGTCTTTTTATGTCAGTTTAATAAGTTGTTTTATTTTATGGAAAAGTAAGGTGAAGAAATGGAGAAGAAAGGTGAAAAAATGGAAAAGAAATGTGTAATATAAAGAAAAAGAGGAGAAAATATAAGTTTTTTTAAAAAAGGGGCTAATTAGTCGTTAGTAGCTGTCAGGTGGGGCCCATTTTAATGGTTATTGTCAACCTTCACGCGCTCTTAGGCGCGGCTTATTTCACACAATATACCACATAAGCGACAGGGGGGTTTTATTATGAAGGGGGTATAGTTCAAGGGGTTTTCGAGGACACTCGATAGTTTAGGTAAGAAACTGACAAAGATTTAGGCGGGTTTGAGGGTATTAACTCTTTTCTAAATGCTAGTGCTTGGAGGGTAAAAAAGTCCCTTTACTCAAATTTGACATATGGGTTCAACGTAAACTAATTACTCGTTAATCAAATTTAAATATTAATTAGGTCGACCCTCTCCCAACTACCCAACTCTTACTAGTTTTCAAATTATAAAGGGAAAAAAAAGTCCTATCTAATTATCGAATTTTAGATCATACTTATATACTTATATGATGCTTTCGTGATGTTTGAGCAAAATATATAGCATGTTTAAAAGTTAAACTATGCTACCTCTTCCGCTCTAAATTACAACAACAACAAAACCAATGGGATCCTACAAGTGAGGTCTGGGGAGGGTAATGCGTACACATACCTTACCTCTACGTTAAGAAGGTAGATAATAAACAGATAATAACAACAAGTAATAGGCAACGGAAGCAAATGGCAAAGCGTGTAATAACAAAGATCAAGGAATTAAGTCTTTTAATTATCCGTGTGCTTTAGATTTCATGTGAAATTATTCATCCGTGTGCTTTCGTGATGTTTGAGCAAAATATATAGCATGTTTAAAAGTTAAACTATGCTACCTCTTCCGCTCTAAATTACAACAACAACAACAACAACAACAACAAAACCAATGGGATCCCACAAGTGAGGTCTGGGGAGGGTAATGTGTACGCAGACCTTACATCTACGTTAAGAAGGTAGATAATAAACAGATAATAACAACAGGTAATAGGCAACGGAAGCAAATGGCAAAGCGTGTAATAACAAAGATCAAGGAATTAAGTCTTTTAATTATCCGTGTGCTTTTAATTATTCATGTGAAATTAAGAGTCTACAACTGTGTTCAGAAAATGAAATTGAATCCACAAGACCTTTCAAGATATTGTTCATTTCGAACAGAAAAACAAGATAAAAGGTTGAAAAATAACCAAAAAACTTTGCATAGCTTACGACTACGTAAAGAGAACCAACGAATCGGAGATACAAAGAAGAGCATTATACTCATGAGTTAAGCAATTCGGTGTACAATTTCAATAATCACGAGTCCAAAAAAATCTACACGTGTATATATGGATCGAGTGGCAAAAAGAGGAACACCGGAGACAGGTGATCCTCGGGTGTATACAAAGCACAACAGCAAAATAATATGAGGGGTCTAAGAGGCAATCTTTTGACCCCAAATGACTGATAAATGGTAATGCAAATGCAAAACCCTCAAAAAGAAGGAATCAACATATACTCCCTATATAACTGTTTTCCTTGAAAACTACATGCACCCAAAAAGTAACAACTCTACAACAGAGGGTGAGTTTAATAGGCTTACAGACCAGAAAACATTCTGGATACTATGACACAAATGAGGCAAATCTTTAAACATTACTTACTTTCAGAATTGGGCCAAAGTTTATTGGTATCCTCCTCCATATGGGTGTTGGCCATAGGGACCCATGCCCATCCGGGGATTGTAACCTCCTGGCATAGAAGCTCCAGGAGGAAATCCGGTAGGCTGTTGCATCTGAACTCCTTGACCCATGTTCATTCCCATGCCCATGTTCATAGGTCTATTCATCCCCATGCCATAAGGCTGGTTTACTCCTCCATATGCTCCCATGCCAGGTCCCCCTGCAGGGCCACCAGCACCCATACCCATGCCCATGCCCATACCTGAACCTACCATTGGGTGCGATGGAGGAGGCCTTAGTGCACCAGCACCAGCACGACCAACTCCGGAACCTGAACCCATTGCTTTGCCCATGTTAATAGTTGATATCACGGGGGCTGTACTGGGTTTCTCCATCCTTTTCTCCTTGCGATTAATAGCATCAAAATCAACCCCAATATCAGCTAATGGATTTGTTTTAGCTGCATAACAAAAATTGCAATGTCATAACAAGGGAAAAGAAAGGAAATTTGCATAATCCCAAAAGAAAACACCTACATCCAGAAATGTTCAAATTGACCAGTCCACGGCTCAATGTATCTGCCCAAACAGTAGACTTCGTCTCGAATTTGTCTTTGGCTGGTTGGGTGCTGCTGATGGGAGCTGTTGAAGCTGGAGTAGTTTGTGTTAGCACTAGGGCATTACTTGTTTGAGTTTGTGAATATTGAAGAGGCATTTGTGAAGGCATGTGGGATGCAGCAGTTGGCTGTGAAAGGTATGGTTGTCCAGCAGATGTATGACCCATTTGGGGACCAAATGGACCTGTAGATCCTAATCCTGTGTTGTAACCTCCAGCATTTGCATTGTTCTGCATAGAGGAGCCACCAGGACCCCCGAAACCAGATTGTGGATAGAAACCTGTTGCAGAGTGGAAACCAGCAAGAGATGCAGGTTGACCACCTTGGGGTCCAAATCCAGTCTGTGATGCTTGACCGGGTTGAGCAGGAAAACCTCCAAAAGGCGGAGAATTGTTCACTTGACCAGAAAAGCCCACTGGAGACATGGTTTGTCCTTGACTTGGAAAACTGGTATGTGGTGACTGTTGGCCAGGTTGAGCTGCAAAACTTGTGGGAGGAGCAGCTGGGCCCGGAAGTGCCAGATAACCTGTATGATGTGTAGTTGCCGCACCATGAGATTCAAATCCTGCCTGTGTGGCAGGTTGGACACTTGGGATTGCATGATCACTAGGAGGTGGAGGACCAGATGGTGGGAGAATGTCAGCCAATATATCGATCTCCTGGTTGGAGGTGGACAGCTCCTGCTGAGCATATTGCATATTAGTTGGAGTAACCTGACTATATGTTGCCCTTGAGAGCTCAGCACCCTGAGGGACCGATTGAGGAAGCTCAGGGCTTTGATTTGAATTAGGATGGAAAGATGTAGAGTTCTGCAGATGAGTTTGCATGCTATTCGAGGTCATAGCCTTGAAAGGACCATCACCAAAAGGATCCTCAAACATCTGCAAGAAAAGCAAATATCTCTTCAGTAAGTAAATTGTAGAACGGCAGAATCATAAATGTGTGCAATACAACGCATATGGTTAACTCATTAAATGCCCTTGCACTGGTTTTGGTTTATCCACCTGGTTAGAGATGGTAGATCCTGATGATGCTTCCCCAAACATGGTCTCAGTGCCAGTGCTCCCAGAAGGATTAACCTCAGAGGCACTCGAAGCTGCAGGTACAAGGGCTAATGAGTTGGAGGAAAACGGCTCAGACAAGGCGCCAAGTAAATCCATTTCGCCAGCAGAAGTAGTTGACACAGGACCATTTGATGGAGCTGGGGCCGCTGCTCATACAGGAGAAAACTTACTTGCATTAGAATGGTAAAGTAACAAATCATTTACAAAACAATTTGAGAAGCACCTGGGAATCAAAAAGGAGCCCATAATCAATATGATACCAGCAATCGCACAGCAGACAAAAAATAATGAGGTTCCAATGTGACGTTAAGGGACTCCTCAACTCTACTAATACATCACATTGTGTATTAAACCCTCATTTCTGCGCTTGGAATTCTCAATTACCCTTAATTTTATTTTTGAATTTCACTCGCTTCATAGTACAGGCAGGTGTCATCAGCAAATAGCACCCGAGATTTCACAATTTACTGCAGAAAATTACTGCCAACTATTAACCCCTTTACGCAGCGCCTCTATCCTCTGATTTTATTGGTGAATAAGAAGGGCTAGAAAGAGTCATTTTCGCTATTTAGGAATTTCGGACTGAAAATTTAGCTGTGGATATGCACCATTTTATCCATGCAATTCATTTTTCTCCATAATTCATTTCCTTTAATATTGCGAACAAAAAGTTGCAGTTAACATGATTTAAGGCCGTTTCCATATACAATTTGCAGGTCACCCATGGTGTTCCTTCTTTTATTGCTCAAAACCCAATTGATATAAGCACAGCTTCAGCAATTTGTTTGTGTGATATTAAGGAAATCTGAGAATCTTTTATCAAATTGCTCGTAACACCTTACACTCTTGTTCTCAGTACTTGTGAAATTAGTTTATATACACAAACCAGCACAAACGTTTTTTTTGGTATTAGAGCAATAAATGACACATTGAGGCTCTTCGCAGTGACCATCCTCAAATAAGATGCTTTTAGTGCTGCCAGAACTGAAGTAAAAGACTGACTGGACACTTTATTAAGATGAGAAGATAAAAGGTGCAAGTATATGAAGAGAGCACACGTTGATTTTGATTTCTTAGGAACAGAAATCAGTGAAAAGGTGGGTCTTAAAAGATGTATGTTGTAATAATTCTCTTTATGCGATGCCAAAGAGGGATTATTTTAATTTTTAACAGAAAAGAGAAAGGAACGGTTCACATTCACGTTATATAGCATACACAAGTTACACCTTTACCAGCACAGCATGGGTCTTAAAACGTCCTGTGCATTTTAATTGTCCTCTCTATAACAAACACGTACTTCCCAACTTCACCCACCTTTACCAAAATAAATTTTCAACACATCTGAATTTGCTAATACTTGTAACAAAATCGTAATTTTGGAGTTTGGTTGGTCCCAATTGTTTATTTAATCAAGCAAGCAGCATGCTACACGATTAAACATCTTTAACAGACAGACAGACATACACTGCAAGTTACTTTCTCAAAGTACCACATTGAAGGAAGCCTAGTTACTAAAGACAAAATAGGAAACTAGTAGCTCCTGATTACCACCAAATATTTTGAAAATGTTTAGTGCCAGTAATATACTTAAAACATTAAGCACTAACTTGGCCATTGTTCTTCAGTGGGGGTCGTTTTACCTGAAAAAGATGCACGGGGATCAAATTCATCAAAACTCTCAACAACCTTGTTTTCTGGTGGTGGAGCAGTAGCTGCTGCTGGAGCTGGTGGTGGAGCAGTAGCTGCTGCTGGAGCTGAAGGTGGAGCAGTAGCTGCTGCCGGAGAAGGCATATTAGCTGGGCTAGGACTGGCACTTGCATGAGGAGAAGAAGATTTGGGAGCAGATGCTGAAGAAGTTTCTACATCCCTTTTGACAAATAATAATAAAGATAAATATAAAATTTTCAAGGAAACAAATGGCAAAATGGATCCTTTTCACAACTATTACCTTTCACTATGTGTTGGGCTACGTGAAGCTCCAACAGCTTCCTCATAACTAGGAGGTGCACTAAGGTTTTGTTCAGAAAACCTCCTTTCAAGCGGCCTACGTAAACAGTTACATGGAAAATTTAAATCTTATCAAATAAATAACACCATTTCTTAATTAAAGCAATACTTATAACTAAAAGGCACACTAATAACACCATCCATCCTGAGAGCGATCCTCAGCTCTAGCACCACTTCCTCTGTTAGTCATGAAGATTAAATTAATGCATTATGGGCAAAACAACAACATACCAAGTGTGATCCCACAAGTGAGATTTTGGGAGGGTAGAGTTTACGTAGACCTTACCCCTACCTTGTGTGAGGTAGATAGGTTGTTTCAAGCGTCTCAGGAAATGCATTATGGGCAAGGATAAGAGATTTTTAATGAATGTGCATAGATTAACATCAAATTCAGAGTATTGGCAACAGAACCTGGTTGCTAAATTTTATTCATTTATCTATTAGAATCATCTAACTAATATTAAATTACAAAAGCCGTGCCCTTATTTAAACAAAAAGATGAGAAGACAAACCTAGAAGAATATTGACCATCGTCATCATTGCCACGATCCCTGTACCTGTCAGAACTTCTACTTCTTGATCCATAATTAAAATCATCTGTGCTCCGACTTCTTCCACGATAATCATCATCCTTGTATCCATCTCGGCTGCGCTCATCATAATCTCTACCATAGCGATCCCCATCACGGCTGTTTGAGTCTCCATATCTGCCATATTTGTCATCATCTTTGTAGTATTCCCTTTCCCTCCCATAACCATTTCTTTCTTCATCTCTGCCTCCATAACGATCTTCATCAAATCTGTCACCATACCCTCCTGAACCTGAATATGAACCAGGGCGATACATACCACCCGTTGACGTGTTGCGGAATCTATCAAGATGATAAAATTTGTCAGAGAACATTACCTTTGTAGACGGTACTAATGAAATCAAAAATTATATGGCTATAGTCGTCATCAGAGCATAGTCATACATGTAGCTTTAGAAGTCATACCTACAGCTTAATTTTTTTTATCTTATTGTATCTACAAGAAATTAATTCTTTTCAACAATTAAAGATAGCATTTCAAAATGAATGTCATCTTTGTAATTTTTGTACTGTCAATAAATCCAGGTAACTAGAAATTGAGCTATTCAACAAGTTGACTTTCTTACACTTCCACCATTATGATAAAATCCACCCCCCCCTCCCTCCCTCTCCCAGAATTTCTTTTCTTCCCTTATAACAAACAAAGTTGCTGCAAATGAAAATGCATTTTTGAAGTATTGATGCTAATGATATCTGACAGGCAAATTCAAGAACTAGCAAGAATCATATATTGTCAAAAATATCATTCAACTCTCTCCAAAGCAAGTTTAGGGACCGGCGAACTTTTAATGGGTATTGCTGGATGTGCAAGTAGCATGTGAAAAAATCTTATTGTTTGGATAATGGCTCGCTTGGATTAGTTATTCACAAAAACTCACATGCTTGAGCATACACAACATGCAGACACTAGACAGATGTTTCCCCTCAAATATAGCAGAACAAAATCTTATCTTAGTAATATATGTTAGTTTGAATTAAGACACCACGGGAAATGCAGATATTCTCATACTCTTTTATGCCATGGCAATTCTCACTTGAACTACGGCACTCATTGGTACCACAGCCAGTAAATTGAAGTACAGAAACAATATTTAATCAACAAGGTTAATGAGGTTTGTCAAAGGCAAAAAGCAAAAAACTCATTGGTGAAGATATAATGCTAGGCAAAAAAAAACGTAAGAAATAGTCTTTAAAAAGTTTAAAAGAATGCTTATAAAGGGGCTGAAGAACAACTCCTCTTTTTCTTTTTCTTTTTTTCCTTTAACTTATCCTAGGGGAGAGGGGTACGGCTTGTCAAAGGCGAAAAGGCAAAAGGCATATATGGTTGTTGGGGCATTATGCAGAAAAATGCAATGAAAGCACACACACCTTAGCGGAAAATAAAAAAAAAGAAGAAGAAAAGATTTTATACAGGAGACAATAGTACAAACACAAACAACAATGATATGCATACGCGAATTGGAAATACTTAATATATAGTAAAGCATGTAAATCAAGTTTAAAACCACTTCTAAAAGCAAAGATACACTTCTAAATTTTTAGTTCAGATTTAGAGATCAGCGTTCAGATACAAATATTCTAATTTCTGATCCATACATCCATAACATCCCCATTCTCATTGGTTTGATGGCTCTTTTTGGAATCACATATTCCACATTCTTTTGGTGTAATCTGATTCCTTAACAATTAACACATCATTTTGATGGGCGATATCTATTATTGCTGCGCTTCAAGAGGGCGATCATGAGCCCCTCTTGAAGGTTTTTGTTAAGCATGCTCGTAGCCTGAGCTGCACCTCGAGTACAGGGCTTAAGAACATCTCAAGCAGCCATTTGACAACACCGCATAGGGGGAGGGGAGAGGGAGGGAGGGGGGAAATGAGAAGTGGGAAGTTTAGAGTACATAGTTGTGACTTGTGGCAGAACTATATACATGACCTGAAGCAGAAGAGATGGATACGACTGAAGCAGAACCAACTGGAGTGAGTCATACTTACTTGTCCCTATTAGCAGCTGCCTTTTGGCGAACTTCCTGAATTCTCTCCTTGTCATTAACAAGAACCACAAGGCTCTGAGATTTCTTTCTGACATTGCTTCCTTGATCTCTCCCACTGGAGTCGATATATTGAAAATCGGACAGTGTCTGGGCAAAGAGAAGATTAAGACAATACTTAATTGTTTTCCCCAGATTCCACAAAGTTGGCAATCTCGTAAGAGTAACAAATTTAACAAGAAGGAAGAAACTTACAGATATTTGGTAAGCATGTTCCCGTATGTCATCAATGACACGTTCAGACCCATGGGCTACCAAATATTCCAAAACAGTTAAACCCTGAGATTCATCGTCAAACATTAGATATAGTTTTTTAGTGAAGCACTTTTATATATGGTATTCATTAAAAGCAAGAAAGCATGTTGTATGTATCTTCATCTTATAAAGAGGGCAGTTGGTAACCTTGAATAATGAAAGATTCAGGAAATATGATCTGACATTATAAGTGCAACTTGGCTAGACAGAGTAAACAAATTCAAGCAGCACAAACCTTGTAAACATGCCGCCAATTTTTTCCAGTATCATTGATACGCTTCCAGATCACAGACATAATCATTTGGTACTCATGACTGCAAAATTTTGAAAATGAATCTCACATATAGAAAAGGATATAAATAACACAACCAAAATACTCAAATCAGTGACTTAAGCTTACTAGTTCCGTGTAGCCTGAGCAATATCTGCAAGAAGTGATCCATGAGGACCCCAGGGCTCATTGCTAGTCGCATCTAGAACCTTGAGAGAAACCAAACAAAAAGATAATCAAATCACTACCAGCTAACATATTAGACACCAAAAGAATTGACTAGGTCCGCCAAAAAGAGCAGGTAAGTGAGATTTTCATGTACCCACTTTGAGCACTTATTCAGCATCAAGCAAAGGAAAATTGTGCAAACAATTAGGCTTGTCGGGGGTCTTGGATCAGCAGTAGAATAACAGGTCATACCACAAAAGTAAGAAAAGCGGTAAACACTAACCAGCTATAACGGCTTCCAAAGCTGGAACTAGAAGGAAGAATCATTATTGCAGAAAACACTAATTACGAAAAAGATCTTTTCCTTCTGCTTATATCTTATCATTATATCAGTATGTATTCCATGAACCCAAAACAGATTTGATATTGCCATATCTTTTCTACTTTTGGCAAGAATAGAGCAAGCACTAATGGTTTTAGTACCGTTAAAGCTATTTACATTTCTAAAGCGACATCAAAGAGAATCGTCTCACGAGAAACCGAGAAAAAGGGGGAGGTGGGGCTAGCTAAGGTGACTAGGTATGTTTGTATGTAACTTGAACAAGTTCAAGCACTTTGAAAACACATGATCTACTTGAATCAAGGCATGACACTCCACTCCAGGCAACATGCCTCCTCAGCAAACGTAAGTGTGTCTCTCGTGTGGCCATTAAAACTCATGGATGATTGGAGTATCCAAGGAGAAGGCAGTTTTTCCTCTAAATTACTTATGTTCTCTTTCATAGAAAAAAATCAGAGAACCTCAATTCCATGAATCAACAAAGCCTGTATGTACGAGCGGCCAACAAGACTATCCATATTAGTTCTTCACCCTGGAACATCTCTTTCATATCATATTTCTATATAATTGAAATAACGGATTTGACCATCTCTTAACTGCAGTTATTCACCATGAATTCTTTTATATTTCGAGAAGCTTATGATGTTGCTTAAAGGATCAGAACTAAAATGCACCTCTTCGACATGTCGGTTTTGCACTCTCGCCTTCAAAAAAGTTAGTTGCAATCCCAAGCATCAACCAAAGATTTGAAGTATTTTAATCAACGATCACCAACGGTATCACATTAATGTACGTGCACGTACCAAAGTGTTTCAAAAGTGGGGTTATGTTGGCGACGTGGCCGTAGGTTTATCCTTAGCCTAGATTGATCTAAGTAAAATAAAGTCTCTAACATTTTTCTTAAAAAATATTTTAGTGGTACTGCAGGAATTTAAAAATGCATTATACTGACAAAAAGGACACAAGAATAAGAAAGAGATGGGCAAATAGGACTTACTTTTTGTTCTATTGAAGGGACCTTAAGAACCTTTTTATTCACCTCTCTCTTGCTGCAAGCAAAGAGTGAAAGCAACAAATGACATATCAAAAAAAAGATCCAAATTGAACAAATTAACAAATCAAAGACTAAACAACTACAAGATCAATCAAATGCTATTTTCTCCATCCATAATCAAAGTTCGGCGATAAAGATGAAATATGACTGGCCTGACAGAGATATTGATATGTCTGTTACTATGAAAAGTGTAGGATTTGAATTAGCAGACTTACATGTCCCGCACAGTTTGATCAAATGCTTTCTTCATTCTGATATTGTATACTTAGCAGCCCGATACTCTGTAAATTCCGCACCCCTCAAACGTTGTCTGCAGAAACAGAATAAAACCAATTACATCCCCACAGGGCCTTTATCCTACCACCGGACAGCTTCAATGATTTCATATTCCAGCCTAACCAAGTCCAAACGAACCCTTATGTATTGATATGTTTTGTATTACTCCCTCTGTCCCAATTATGTGGCACGCTTTCCTTTTTAGTTTGTCCCAAAATATATGTAGAAACAATTTACCTGTAAAATCTTTATTTTACCCTTAATGAGATGATATATAACTACATATATGTCTATGGCTTCTTGTTTACCACAAATTTCAAAAGACTTTCTTCTTTTTTTATGACAGCGGTGTGCGGACCAGCTTCGCACACCTCGACTAATTGCATCAAGTACCTGCTGCCTTCTACAAGCACAGCTAACGGGTAACTCTGCCTACCAAGGTAGGGAAACTGGGATGAAATCACCTAGTACCGGATAATTCTGCCCACGAAAAGTCTTTCTTTCTCAAACTCTGTCTCCAGTCAAATACAGCCACATAAAATGGGACAGAGGGAGTAATTAGTTTAGTATTAATCAATCAATCAGCCAACTACTCCTCAATCTCAAATTAGACAGGAATCAGTAATACGAATGCTCGTTTAGTCTACATTTAATTCCAGGAATTAACAATTGCAACGATTTTCAACAGTTCCATTTCGCGTAAAATCATAAACTCAGCAATAAAAAACAAATATATTTTAAAAAATCAATAATTCAGGCGATAAAAGAATCACGCTATTTACACTTCATTTCCATAACGAATCAAAACGCGAAATTGTAAAATCAATCGAGATCAGGGGAGCTGAACAAAACTCAATAATGCAAATTAACAGCTAAAATTATAGATCTAAATTCGCATTAGAAAAACATAAAATTGATTATCCAAATTCACAAAATTGATTCAAATAACAAATACAAAAGAGATCTAATTGATTGAACATGAGATCGAACCTGATTCAGATCTGAGATGTGAAGAGAGAAATGTTGAATGGCTTTCAGAGAGAGAAATGTTTGAATAGTTTTTAGAGAGAGAAATGGGAATAATGGTAAGAGATGTACAGAGAGGAAAATTGTGAAACAGAGAGCTGGCTATTGTTGAAGACAGAGGAAAGGGAGAAATAAGACAGCGCACCTCACACGCAGGAAGGAATAATATATTTGGGACAAATTATTTGATTTTTTCCCCTTTTTCCTTTTCTTTTCTTTTTATTTTTCAGTTTCTCAACTCTTTTTGTTCTTTGTATTTGTGTTTTGTGAATAGATTCCAACTAACTGTCCAATTTAAGTTAAATTAATTTGTTCATATTAAAGACAAGGAGTGAGACTCGACTAACTCTTTTTTGCCAAATTCATTGTATATACAATTAAACTTCTCTATAACAACCAATGTTTTAAAAGGCGTAGACGTAAGTCGATACGTTTTACATATATCTCAGCGAGGTGTAAGTCTTGAGGTACGGGGCATAAGCTCCATAAGTATTTAATTTTTAATATTTTATAAAATAATATAATTATAGTAAATATTTATAAACATGTAAAANAAACTAGTCAAAATAAATTATTATGCGCTACTTAGAAGCACAAGTAATTTGAGTCGAAAAGAATAAAGTTTTCTACGTAGAGGAACAAAAGGGATGACTAGCATGCAATTTGAACTTTGAACTTGTTGTTACGAAGTAGAATGAAGTTCTCTTTGTATCTGTAAAAAAAGATTGAATATTCGTTGCTTTTGGAAGATATTAGCAGACTAGCAAACAAGATAAAGAATTGGGAAATCATAAATTATGGCTTCAATCAATAAAAAAAAAGGTCTTGACTTTTAAATTTAATACATTTCAGTTCCTCTTTAAAACTTTTGAGTAATTACCAAGTCGACTTTTGAGAATTTGGGTATTATATGAAGGACTTATTCAACAAATTTTATTTTTAATTTTTAATTTTTTGGGGGGCTTACGACTTACTAAAAAAACGGGCCTCAAACGCTCGGGCGTACGCCCCAAATTGTTGGGCGTATACCTCTTGAGATTTTCGCCCCACAGCATCGCCTCAGACGTTTTTGGTGTGCCTCGCCCCGAAAATGCCTTTTAAAACATTGATAACAACTTTATTTGTTCCGATATATTTTTGCTATTTTTTTGTTGTTATAGTGAAGTATTGTTATAAATAACATAACATGAAAAATTAGTTCCAAAGAAAACGTGATTGTTATAATATGTTGTTATAAAGGGTGGTTGTTACAGGGAGATTGAATAGTATATGGCTCATAATATGGGTGACGTTTCCTCTAGGCAAGAACTTATATGTTGAATGAAAGATAGTGTAAGTTTATATGAGATACGATATATTAAAATAAGAAAACTTTTCCTACAAGATAGATAAAGAAGAAGTAACTCAAATAGTCGTCCAATTAATCGCTTAAACTAAAAATACTCTACTGACGTATAATATGTGAATAATTCATGTATCATATGTATATAACTATATATAATTAGTGTATAATCTATATATACCCGTTAGAAAAAATAAACAATGAATTTGACCAGCTATTTGTGTTAAAATCCCTAACATAAAACAGTGGCACCGCACATTAGATTATTAGATATATAAATAGGAGCGAGATTGACCAACCCAAAATAAAAGAATGGAAGAGCGATTTTCCTACTAAAAGCCTAAAAAATAACTTTGTGCGACCTTATTTACCAAGCTCAATACTACTAATTTTTTTTTTTGGGTTTTCCACCCGGTGTTCGGTACTCGCATTAGAGCCCGACTATATTCGAATTCTTGCTGCATAGGGCCCCATTCAGGAAAAAACGCTCCCTACCAAGGGTTTTTCCATACCCGGGGCTCGAACTCGAGACTTCTGATTAAGGGAAGAGCAGTCTCATCCACTGCACCACATCCGATGGTCTCAATACTACTAAATTGAGTTAGAGCATTAACCTATGTAGGTTTAGACGTGGAGTCCAATGAATACCAACTAAGCTTGCTATAATATTGAGTAAAGCCAAGCTCGAGATCAGATCGAGCCTTTTTAGTATTAAGTTGGGTTGAGCCGAACCAAGGAAAAATCGATCGAGTTTGACTATAGTGCATCAAGCCCGAGAATTATCGAGCCAAACCAATGTTAGTTGTTGTCCTGATTTTCTTACTAAAAAGGAAAATATAACTTTTCTATGTTTGGCTAGTCTTTTTCTTGTAGGAAAAGATTTTAGACTTCTATAAATTGAGGATAATTCCTTCTCATTCGGTAGCATCCACAATGTAGCCATATGGGGTTTGAGAGTCGTATTTAGGGGGAGAACTTTACGGGATAAGTGTTAGTGTGTCATTTGTGTTTGCCTCTTCGTGAGGTTGTTCTCTCGATATTTTGTACTCTCTTTTATATAGTAGATTGCTCATCTCCGCCCGTGGACGTTAAATGTTAAATTGACCGAACCACGTTAAATATTTGTGTCTCTTTTGGTATATTTCTCTTCTGTTATCTGATTTATCGTTGTTCAAGTTTTGCTTTACTAGCTTCCGCATGGTACCTGATTTTTCCGGTCCTAACAACCAAGTCATCTCTTTAATATTTTTTTCACCTATGTAAAATATCATCTCAATTGGATTGTGTTAGGATCGGGTAGTAAAACAACGGTATAATGACAATAACAAAGACAATGGAAGTCGATAACAATGATAATTAAAGCATATAAAGAAGCCACAAATTTAACGTAGTTCGGTCAAAGTGACCTACGTCGACAAGCGGAGAGAAGCAATTTCACTATACCAATAAGAGTACAAAAGAGAGTAAACAATTAGAGTAAATACTCTAATTAATCCCAAATACCCTAAGAGAATAACCTCACAAAATCACTCCAAAGAAAGGATTCACACAAGTACTTCCCAACACTAACTCTCATACAAAACACTCTTAATAAATGAGGAAAGGAAGAAACAAGAAATGAAGATTCAAGTCTTGTTGGTGTGTCTAAAATGAACTAATGTTCTTTCCTTATATAGGCAAAAAAGTTTTGGCATCTTAGTTGTAAAAGAAAAGATACAACTTGTGCAAATGATATCCACCACACAATGCAATATTTTTGAGTCCCAAAGAATATTGCCAACAAAGTCTACACTTTGTAAAGATACTTATGCTTATGTGAGATGGACTCCATTAGCCAAAATATTGGCCAAAATTATAAATCTCCATATTGGCCTAATTTTGGGTGATATAGTAAATTTGCTCCACCTTATCCGCAAAAGCCCGAATGGGTATATGTCAAAATTTAAGGCCATCAAAATCAGACAAGTTGTCCGATACTGAAACTGCAATAGGGCCTATAATAGTGGATCCCAATAAAATATAGAACGAACCAGATCTGTGTGCTTTCATGATCATAAGAGCACCTTGAAAATTTTTTAGAACTCCACTTTCACCAGTGAATTTGCACCCAAGGGATTTTAAAGTGCCCAAAGAGATGAGATTTTTCTTCAACTCAGGAACATATCTAACATCGGTGAGAGTTCTTACCACACCATCGTGCATTCTGATCTGAATTGTACCTTTGCCAATAACGTTACAACTAACATTATTACCCAGTTGGACAACTCCACCTGTAACTGAATCATATGTAGAAAACAAGTCCCTGCTAGGACACATATGATATGAACAACCGGAATCTAAAATCACTCATTGTCTAATCTGAAACTAGTTTCAGTTTCTAAAAATATAGTTCCCTCAACCCCATTAGTTGCTACACTAACTTCGGCAGTGTCGGTATTTTTGTGCTCATTTTTTCTTTCTTTGTGCTTTTCTTTATTTTTCAGTTTATAGCATTCAGAGATAATGTGACCTTTCTTATGACAGTAGCGACACTCTAAATTATTATATATGGAATTGGAGTCGGATTTGCCCCTAACAATCAAGCCAACTTCTGCTTGAGTCCACTAGCTTCCCCAGTAATATGATTATCTATCTGTTCTTTTGATTTTAATATAGATTTAATATCCTTATAAGAGATATTATCCTTTGCAGAAAGCATAGTATCTCTTATATGCTTAAAAGATGGCGGTAGAGAACAAAGTAATAACACGGCTTGATCCTCATCTGTGATGATCCAAAAGGTCATCTTTATATTTTAGACCTCGAATCTGCGCTCTTAAACTTTAAAAATCTTATATTTATCCTCATCGATTTGCGTGTTCAATCCGGGGCATGTTTCCGGAAAGTTTTATGTTGAAAATTGATGAAAGCAAGAATTTATGCCTTAAAAAGTTGATTTATTTGACTTTGGTCAATATTTTTGGTAAACGAGCATGAAATTGTGTTTCGACGGTCCCGGTGGGTCCGTATCGAATTATGGGACTTGGGCGTATACCCGAAATTGAATTCCAAGGTCCATAGCCCGAGAAATAAATTTTTGACTAAAATTGAATTTCAAAAAATTAATGGTTTTAAAGTATATGCTTAATGCTTGATTTTGATGGTATCGGGCCGTATTTTGGTTCCGGAGCCCGTACATATACGTCATAATATCTGAACTACGTATGTAAAATTTGGTGAGAAACGGAGTTTAAATGACGTGATTCGGACCTTCGGTTGAGAAAATAGTAACTTAAGTGTTCTTGAGAATTTTATTGATTTTGATGCTAAATTCGTAGTTCTAGGTGTTATTTTGGCGATTTGATCGCGCGAGCAAATTCGTATGATATTTTTAGACTTGTGCGCATGTTTGGTTTAGAGCCCCGAGGGCTCGGGTGAGTTTCGGATAGGCCACGGGATGCTTTGAACATAGAAAAATAATCTGGTCTTTTTGCTGTATCTGATGTCTGCAATAGTGTGCTTCGCGATCGCGTAGTCACTCTCGCGATCGCGTAGTCACTCTCGCGATCGCGAAGGGGAAACTGGATTGGGGGAGGATTTACTCTACGCGAACGCGAGACAACGGTCGCGAGCACGGAGCATTGGGGGGAGTTTCTCTACGCGAACGTGACAGGTCGAACGCGAACGCATAGCTCTAGCTATGCTGGGCAGGGGACCTAGGGAAGCTCTACGCGAACGCGAAGGTAAGGCGGGCTAAGCCTTCGAGAACGCGTAAAGCCTCCTGCGATTGCGTAAGTCCTTAGAAGGCTGCTCTTCGCGAACG